ATAGGCGCCGAGCCGATATTGAAATATCTTAAGATCACGGCAGAGAATGAGACAGAGAGGAAAACTGTGAGCTAAGTGGTAAAATTTCTGGGGAATATGGGACATGAGTAGATAGATGATCATAGCTCAACCTGACGCCCTAGACTTCAAAGATGAGTTTAGGAATCAGGGTGTTGGGACAACAGTCTACAAGTGGCATTTGGGAGCAGTGAGAATGCTGATGCTGTAAATTTACTGGTGCAGAAGAGAAAACAGGTTTAAGTAAGTGGAAGGGTGTGGTTTTGTGAAGAGGTCTGCAAGGCGATTTGGAAGGGCTCTGGGAAATGATACGATCTACCAGACTAAAGTGGAAGCAGATGCTGAGAGGCAGAATGTCTTATCTCACAAAATAAGCTTGCAGCAGTGGAGGGAGTGGGTGAGGACAGTATGGGCTGCCAGTTAAAAAATAGGCCTTTGAATCAGATGGATTTGGTTTGAATGTCAGCTTTATTATTTATCAGCTGTGAGATGTGGGGTACTACCTAGTAATATCTCAACTTTCTCATCTATAAAATGGAATGTGTAATAACTACTACCAAGAACTGTTGAAAGGATTTAATGAGTTGATGTGCGGGAAGGGCTTACTTTATGTATAGTACCTGGCACACAGGAAGTGCTCAATACATTTTAACTACTAATGCTGGAACTGAATCAAAAGGACCCTGACTCTTAGTTCTGTGCTTTTCTGGTCATTCCACACTGACATGACATTTTTTTTCTTTTATAGAGACAGAGTCTCACTTTATTGCCCTCAGTAGAGTGCTGGGGTGTCACACAGCTCACAGCAACCTCCAACTCCTGAGCTTAGGTGATTCTCTTGCCTCAGCCTCCTGAGTAGCTGGGACTACAGGCACCCACCACAATGCCTGGCTATTTTTTTGTTGCAATTGGCCAGGGCCAGGTTTGAATCTGCCACCCTTGGTATATGGGTGGGCTGGTGTCCTACCCACTGACACAGGTGCTGCCCTACATGACATTTTTCTTATTTGAAAGACATTAACATTAAGCAGGCCATCTTCCTGGAGCTTTCCTGTGCTACTCACTCCAGACTGCGTCAGTAAGATAGTGGACCTGTGGCCTCAGTGAAGGCTCTGAAAAACTTCTGACATTGGCATAAGCTAGTTTAAACACTGCTATATATATCTGATCTATATACTAGTTTCCTTCCTGTGAATGTTGAAAAACTTTTTGCTGAGTGAGATGCTAAAATGGGCATCTGATGGGACCCTCTGTCATGTATTTCAAGAGGACTTTAGAAATATCGAATCCTCCATGCTTTCCCTTCTCCTCCTACTTTCGCCTGGAATTGTTTAAGCATGAGTAATGAAATAAAATAAGAACAGCCAGAGATTATCTAGAAAACAGACAGGTTTAGCAACTTGCTGGGTTCCTGGTAAACTAGGACTTATAATCCATTCATTGTCCTCATTACTAGTTTATTTATGTTTATTTTTAAAAAGTATTTTTTTCTTTTTTAAAATTTCAGATTAATTTGAGGGTACATATGATTAGGTTACATTTTTTGCATTTTTTAGGTAAAGACCAGGTTGTAGTTGAGCCCTTGAAAACCCAGGAGGTGTGCCTTATATTGTGCCCTTATATTGTTCCTGTTATGTGAGAGCTTACTTAACCCCTTCCCTCCTCCCCTTTCCCTCCTGCCTCCCCACTTCTCCACCCAGTTGAATTTAATTGTGTTTTTCTCTCATGTGTGCATGTGGTTGTTCATCTACTGGTTTCATATTAGTATTAGTACATTGGTACTTGATTTTCCATTCTTGTAATACTTTACTAAGGAGAATATTCTTCAGTTCCATCCAGGTAATACAAAAGATGTAAAGTCTCCATCTTTCTTTCTTTTTTTTTTTTTTTGAGACAGAGCCTCAAGCTATCCCCCTGGGTAGAGTGCCGTGGCATTACAGCTCACAGCAACCGCCAACTCCTGGACTCAAGCGAGTCTCTTGCCTCTGCCTCCCAAGTAGCTGGGACTGCAGGCGCCCGCCACAACGCCCGGCTATTTTTTGGTTGCAGCCGCCATTGTTGTTTGGCGGGTCCGGGCTGAAGATTCGAACCCGCCACCTTAGGCATACGTGGCTATAGGCACCGAGCCAAAGTCTCCATCTTTCATATGGCTGAATAGTATCCCATGGTATACATATTAGTTAATCCATTCATGGGTTGATGGACACTTGGGTTGTTTCTACATCTTGGTGATTGTGAATTGAGTTGTGATTGTGAATTGAGGGCAAATGTCCTTATGGTAAAATAATTTTTTTCCTTCTGAGTAGACATTTATAACGGGATTGTGGGATCAAATGGAAAGCCTTCTTTTGGCTCTTTGAGGATTCTCTAGACTTCTTTCCATAAAGGCTGTATTAGTTTGCAATCCCACCAACAGTGTTCACAAAGTCCCAGAACTGCAGATGCTGGTGGAGATGTTGAGAGAAGGGAACAATTAAAATGCATTCTTGGGCAGTGCCTGTGGTTCAGTGGGTAGAGCACCGGCCCCATATACTGAGGGTGGTGGGTTTGAACCTAGCGCCAGCCAAACTGCAACAAAAAATAGCTGGGCGTTGTGTTGGGCACCTGTAGTCCCAGCTATTCGGAAGGCTGAGGCAAGAGAATAGACTAAGCCCAGGAGTTGGAGGTTACTGGGGGCTGTGATGCCAGGGTACTCTACTGAAGGCAACAAAGTGTGACTCTGTCTCTTAAAAAAAAAAGTATTCTTATACAATAGCTACTATTTTTATTGAAAAAGCAATACATATGCAAGGGAAATAATTACAAAGCAAAATGATACATAACTGAAAATTACCTTGTTCCTATTTCAGTCCTCTTCCTTCCAGTTCTACTCCTGGCTACCACAACTGTTAACAGTTTTTAAGATAACTTTTAGAAATTTTCTATCTATATAATATATATATAAGCACATATGTAAGTATTTATTGTTTTAAAAACACATGATGACATAGTCTATAAATTGTCTCATATGGGGTGTGACGCCTATGGCTCAGTGTGTAGGGCCCTGGCCCTGTATACTGAGGGTGGCGGGTTCAAACCCGGCCCTGGCCAAACTGCAACAAAAAATAGCTGGGCTTTGTGGCAGGCGCCTGTAGTCCCAGCTACTTGGAAGGCTGAGGCAAGAGAATTGCCAAATTCCAGGAGTTGGAGGTTGCTGTGAGCTGTGACGCCACAGCCCTCTACCTAGGGCAATAAAGTGAGATTCTGTCTCTAAAAAAAAAAAAAAAAATGTTTCATATCTTGCTTTTCTCCATTCAATGCTACAACTTGGAGATGGTTTTATATCTGAATATAATCTTTTGTCTTTCTTTTTAATGGTTGTGTAATAAACATTGTACGGCTGTGGCACAAATTATTTAGCCTCAACTTCCACTTTGGTTCTTCTGACATGCCTTTTATTATTGGCTGGCAGCATTATTGTCCCAGTCCTCTGGCGTCAAACCTTGGAGTCATTCCCAGCCTCCTCCTTCTTTATCTGTAAATCCTGCCAGTTCTTCCTTTATAATGTTTTTTCTTTGTGTCCCATTCTCATTGGCACTTTCCTGGTTTAGGCCTTATCATCTCTTATAGTGAATTCCTAGCTCCAGGTTCTCTATCTTTGCACATTTTGCATACTTGCTCCTGATTGAATTTCCTAATGCCAAGGTTCTGCTTGTGTCACTACTCTTCTTAAAAACCTCCTGTGGGAGCGGCACCTGTGGCTCAAAGGAGTAGGCCGCTGACCCCATATGCTAGAGGTGGCAAGTTCAAACCTAGCCCCAGCCAAAAACTGCAAAAAACCCCAAACATGCAAACAAAAACACCTTCTGTGGCTTCCCATTTATTGTGTTCATAAAAACTCAAGCAGTGATCAATACATCTTATTCTTAAGTTGTAATCTGTAGAGTTTATGAAATTCAGATGCCTGGATCAGAATCTCTAGATACAGGATCTTTAGCCTGCATTCAAAAAACAAAACCAAACAAAACAAATTTCCTTGGCTGGGGGTAGTGGCTCATTCCTATAATCCCAGCACTTTGGGAGGCTAAGGCAGAAGGATCATTCCAGGCAGGTGAAGGAGCCTAGCATGGGCAACAAAGTGAGACTCATCTCTGCCAAAAAAGCAAAAAATTAGCCCAGCATGGTGGTGTGGCATGGTGGTGCCGGCTTTTAGTCCCAGCTACCTGGAAAGCTGAAATAGAAGGATTGTTTTAGCCCAGGAATTTGAGGCTACAGTGAGCTATGATCAATTCAGTCTCAGCAACAGGGCAAGACTAGGACTCGAAAAACAAAAAAAATAAGAAAGTATCCAGCTCCTCTGATGCAGTTTGTTGTACTATTGGTGGAATTATTAGAGTAAAGTACTCATTTCTCGGCCCGATAATTAAACCTCCTCACAATTTCTCTCCAAGGTACCTTCCCAGCTCCATCTCTTACTAGTAATACTATAGTTTTTTATCAGTCAGTGCAAATGAAATTCTTGTCGGCTACCTGGATGCTTCTCACATTTTCTAACCTTCCAAACCTAGTCTCTTTATGAAGCTGTCACAGTCAAAAGAGATTCCTGAACTCTATTCTTTGAACTAGCTTTCAATCAAAGTCTTCTCCAAATCATAGTTTTGTATTCTCCAGGTTTCTGAGTGTTCCCCACTGCATTGTATGATCTCTGTCAGCAGACACTTGGTCGGTCCTTTCTTATTCGCACCTACAGAGTCTTCTGCACTTAGTGGCAAAAGTGTTAAACAAGAATTTCTGAGATTACTGCCATTGCCTGACTTGATCATCACTGTATATACGGTGCCGTTAACTCTTCCCGGGCTTATAGTGGGTTTTCAATGCGTTATTTGTGGATTCAAAGAGTAAAAAGAACAGACTTTTGTCCAGAGAACTACAAATTCCAGGGGGCATTGCGCGAGACGTCGACGGGCGCGGTGACGTAGGGGGCGTGCCAAACCTGAGGGAGGGGTCGTTCTGCGGGTAGCCGGAGCCTAGGGTGGCTGTGGAGCCTGGGGTGAGAGAGGGAGTGTGGGGGAGTGAAAGGTAAGCGGCGCTGAAGGAGGGGACGCGCTGCCTGGCGCCCCCAGTCTATGGAGCGGGGTAAGATGGCGGAGGCGGAGAGCCTGGAGACTGCCGCAGAACACGAACGGATCTTGCGAGAGATCGAGAGCACGGACACGGCCTGCATCGGGCCCACGCTCAGGTACCCCGGGTACCGGGGCCACCAACTGGCGGGACGGTGGGCGGGCTCCTTTGGGTCAGTTGCCCAGCCGGCTCCTCCCTTTGGAGAAACCCGCTAGCTTTCTGCGTCCTGGGGTAGGCGGGTGTCCCTACGTCGCTTCGACGTGGGGTCCCTTCTCTGCCGCCGGCGCCCCACAGCCCAGTTACTTGGGAGGCTCTTCCTGCCTCCCTTGGGGCTCAGACAGCTTTCGTTCGCCCTCCGAAGCTAGCGCAGCGAGGGGGAGCGAGAGCGCGCCCGACAGATGGTGGTTCTTAGCAGACCTTACCCCTGGGGACATCACCCTTCTCCCTTCGACTCACAGCCCGTCCAGCCCTGCGTGTAAGTCCTGCTCTTCAGGCAAAACAGTTTCACCTCACGGCCTGTTGGTCGAAATTAAACTCTTGTCTCAAAATCACAACCACATCTAAGAAACGGATCCCTGAAAATCCTAGGCCCTAGAGGGAAGTTTCCTCAACCCGCGCCCCTCTTCTGGGATCCGCTGTTCCTTGAACCCTGTGAAAAAGACAACCAACCCTGAGGTGCAGCTTGCCGCTGTTCTCACCGCTGAGGAAAATCTTACCTCGCCTCAGCTTACCATTGCTTAGCATGCACATTTCCATTTTTTTTTGTAGATGTCAAAACAAATCCCTACCTACCTCAACTTAACAAAATTTAGATAACACATGTTATTGTAATACAGTGAAGAGCATTGTATTACGTGATTTACACATATAACTTATTTAAACCACAGAACAATCTTATTAGGTAGGTACTATTACTCTTAGTTTGCAGATGAGGTATAGAGAGGTTAAATGACTTGCCCATGGTCACAATGGAAAAAAAAAAGTAGAGGACTGAGATTCCTACTGGAAAGTCAGGATCCATACTCTTAACTACTGTTGTTCTGCCTCAATTGATGGTTACCATCTACCTGCATTTTCTGTTGATCATTACACAGCAAAACCAATTTTGAACGACTTCTCTTTTTCCCCTCAGGTTATTGGTGTCCTAGAACTAACTCATCCTCATCCTTTCCTGTTGTGTGTTCTGATCTCCACACAACTAATAGATAATTATCTCACCCTCCTTGTACAATCTTGGGTTACCGCTCCTCCCTTAAACAAAGTTATTACTCACCGCCAGCTTTGTCATCGGGAGAATTGGCTCATGAAAGAGAATCTGATTGAAGGGCAGGCTGGAGACTGCGCCTCATCTCCACCTGCACAGCTTTCTTCTCAGGGCACATTGTTTGCACAATTCTCCCATCCTTGGTCTTAACCATTCTTAGAAGTTTGCCTTTTGCCCTTTAAAGGGACTTTAGCTCCATTTTTGGACCAGTTCTTTCACCCAATTGCTCCCTCGCTCTGTTACATTAAGATTGTGACCATTATGTTCTTCTCATACCTTGTTTTCTTCAGCTCTTAAGGGTCAGTGATCCTCATTTCATAATCTTTAGTTTTGTAAAAACTATGATCTATTTACTAGTATTCTACTAATTTCATTATTAATGGCTATTAATATTGGGTTTTCATAAAATAAAATGTTAGTAGAGTTACCTATGATACTGTTTCAGAATTCGATTAAGAAATTTGGCTACTGATCTGTATTTGTGAGCATAGCAAAGCTCCCACTGAAACAGTGGAGTTATTAAAGAGTTTTTTTTTTGAAGAGTTCTTTATCAGAGCACCATCAATGTTGTGTTAAGTTGCTTGTGGTTTTCAATTGCTATTCTTCTTGTTTTATGTGATAAATGACTTTTATTTAGTGTTCTCAATTTAGTTTGTTGTGATTTATATTAACCTTTCATTGAATAGTATTACTACTACATATTTGTATAAACTTAATTTTGGCTTGTAGTTTTTTTAGTATCTTGACTTTAAGAATTTAGTTTTCTCCCAGTATCTGTGGGGGATTGATTTCAGGACCCTCTGTAGATAACCAAATTCATGGATGCTCATGTTCCTTATATAAAATAGTATAGTATTTGCATGTATCTGATGATGTCCTCTTGTATATTCTATATTATGTCTTTAGTTCTTATAATACCTAATAACAATGTAAATGATGTATAAATACAGTAGTTGTTATATTGTATTGCTTTGGTAATAATGGCAAGAAAAATAAGTCTGTGGATGTTTAGTACAGAAGTAACCATCTTTTTTTGTTGTTGAATAGTTTTGATCCAAGGTTGTTTTACCTATGGATATGTAGGGTCAACTGTGTATTCATTATGGTTCAAATGTAAGTTAACCATTTTCCCATTATAACTAATTTTCTTTATTACTGAGTAATGAAAATGATAACTAATAAATTTCATTATTACTGAATTTTTTTCCCACTTGAGATTGGGCTTTTTGTGGAGGTAGATTGGTTGAGGGAACACTGTTAAAAAAAAGTTTGAGACTCAGTGGACTGTTCTACCAGTTTTAGTTGCTTTTCCTGACTTTCTTATCATTTGTAAGGGGCTTTTCATTTTTAGTTTTGTCTTTTTTTTTGGCATATAGTTCTAAATCTTACTGTCAGACCCAAAGTTCAGTCAATTGAACATATTTTAATACAAATCGTACTCACTGTTTTTGTCTTTAGTCCAGCTTTTTCCTGCCTGTATTCATAGGGGATGAGCTCACCTTTTTTCCCAATCCCATTCAGAGGCAGCAGCATGCACAGACTTGATGTTTCAGATCCCATGCTTTACTCTGGATGTACCTATGTCAAGCAAAGTGGGAAAATGAAAAAAATTGTGAAAAATCTTGTAGCTGAAAAGACAATGCTTGTTTGGTTCAACTAGCAATGGGTTCTGCGTCTGATTGATTTAATTTGTATTAAATAAACAAAAATTTTCACTGAAGCTCTTCAATGGAAGGTTATTTTGACATGTTATCTGCTTGATTAGATTCAAACCACAGAAAAATTAATAGCCCCAGAGAGAAATTAATGAGAGTACAGCATTTAGTAATTATTCCTGTATTCAATTTTAAGAATTTATTAGTTATGATTAAATCAAATATATAATGCTGATGAACCTGATCTCTTGGAAGTCTTAACCTACTGTAACTTTGAAAATAAATGAGGTAGGTAAATTATCTTATTATTTTGAAATATTTTATATCTTTATAAAAGATTATTTTTATAATCTTTATAAAAGATTATTTATATTTTATATCTTTATACAAGATTATTTTATAATCTTTATAAAAGATTATTTATTTCAAAATAATATTATTTTGAAATATTTAAATATCTTATATTTTGAAATATTTTATTTAAAAACTAGAAAGAAGGCTCAGCACCTGTGGCTCAAGCAGCTAAGGCACTAGCCACATACACCTGAGCTGGCAGGTTTGAATCCAGCCTGGGCCTGCCAAACA